GATGTGGGTCCTAAACTACCCGGACCATTAACATAGTAGTAGCTACGCACGGACTCTCGTCACCTAGCGCGTGCCTAGCCCCCGCATTTAGCAACAATTACTCAATTATTAATCCTAGGGGGACAGTTCCCTCTCACAAGGTTAGAAAGGAGACTCACCTCGCTCCAAAGCGCGCTCCCAATATCAAGAACAAGCCCAAGCTCTTAATTCGAAGCCGAACGATCGCAAACTAGTTAAAATAGGCAAGAACTAGTCAATAAAGGCTTAAAAGGCCGAATTCTAACTATTTAAGTAATTTCCCAACCTTTCCCACAAGTTTCCTAAATTCCGACCCCGGGCCCACGTGCCCGGATTCCGATATTTTTCGAAGGGAATTGTTCTCTTCAACCTAAGGATCAATAATATATAAATTCTAGCCCATTTCATAACAAATTACATGATTAATTCTTAGTTTTATTAAAACCCTAGGTCTAGCTCTAACCCTTTGATTTCACCTCATTTTTAGTGTTTAATCTACCTAATATACATGTATTTAAACTAAGGATGAATGAGGATTACTTACCTTACAATGCTATGCTGAAACCCTCTCTTTGGAAGCACCAAAATCGCCCTAGTGTAGAGTTGTGAGTGAAATAAATGACCTTGAGCTCGAATTAAAAGAGCTCACTTCCCAGCGGTTTCCGCTTCTGCGGTTTGGGGACCGCATCTGCGGTCCCGCTCCTGCGGAAGGGAGGCCGCATCTGCGGCTCTGGGCTTTAAGCGACTGGACCGCTTCTGCGGTCTGAAGGGCGCTAAAGCGAAACCGCTTCTGCGGTTTCATGACCGCTTCTGCGGTTTTCCCCTGGGCCTGCCCTTGGCCGCTTCTGCGAAAGCCTGACCGCATCTGCGGTCCCGCTTCTGCGGCCTTAGAACCGCAGATGCGGTTATGACAGAAGCAGCAGTTCAGCCTCTTCTTCAATTTTTAACTTCACTCGGGCCTCGATCGTTTGATGCTCGGGGCTCCCAAGCCCCGCCCGAACATACCGACAAGTCTGAAATCACGAGACGGACCTACTCGAACCCTCGGAACTCCCAAAACAACGCTTAATCTCGGAATCACCCCCTAAAACCAAATGAATCAAACTATTGATCTTCAAGTTCTTAATTCTCCTCTAACGGGTCAAAACGCCCTTAAACTACTCGCATTGACACCAAATTTTACAGGCAAGTCTTAAACGATATTACGGACCTGTACCAAGCTTCGGAACCAAAATTCGAGCCCGATACCTAGGGAATCAATGATTACTTAGTTTCTTTAATTCCTTAAAGCTTCAATTAAACAATTTTAGATAAAAATTCATTACTCGGGCTAGGGACCTCGGAATTCGATTCCGGACACACGCCCAAGTCCCATATTTTTCCACGGACCCTCAGAAATTATCAAATCACGAATCCGGGCCCGTTTTTCCAAAATGTTGACCGAAGTCAAACTTGGTCTTTTTAAGAAATCCTAAAGAAGCAAATGGGCATATTTTTACTCAAAAACCCTTACAATCCCCGAACCAATCGCCCCCGCAAGTCGTAAATTAGTTAAAGCAAGTACGGGAGGCTTTATTTAGGGGAACGGGGTTCTAAAAGGCAAAATGACCGGTCATGTCGTTACAGAAAAGATAATGATTGGTTTGCTTGGATGCGTCAATACATGCTTAAAAGCATTAGGGATGTATCTTCTTTCTTTTGCTTACAGTTTACCTCATGGTCTACTAATCTCTCACATTTTGCAAGTCATGAAAGTGGACTTATCTCCCTTTGGCCGTAAGATCACATCCATCACCTATGACAAGATTGCATTTTCTATGATGGGGTACACTCTAGTTGAAGGAACTTGGATCAAGAAAGAGAAAGCCCCAGAATCTACTACTCAACAGGGCATTGGATGAATTAAGTCTGAAGCCAACCAATCCTCTTCCTCAAAACAGCTGCTACAAATGCATCAAAACATTGTATGTACAAGGAATTGCTAATCTCTATGCAGGAACAAGTGAACAAAATCAGGGATGTGACAAAAGAAACTGGAGAAGATGTGGCCAGATTCAAACCACAAAGAGGCAAGGAATCAGGCTATGCAGTATGTCACTGAGCGATTGAACAAAGTCACCAAAGAGATTGATGCTTCTTATGACAGCTTCTGAACCAAAGTGATCAACACTCTAAAATATTTCCTTAATGGAATTAATTGTCTGGTTTGTCTAAACAATTATTTTTTTTGTCTGTTAAAACTTTCTTTTGGTTGTGCTTGATCGGGTGTATGGTCGACTATACCAGCTTTTGCTTAACTATGACAGTTTAGTTGTATATAAATATGTACTGCATGCTTGTTATATTACTATCTGCCAATACTTGTATCTCTCTTCTTGTTCTTTTTGATTGATGTCAAAGGGGGAGAAGAACAAGAGTACAAAAACAAGGGGAGCAGGAATACAACATTGGAAAGGGAAGGAATAAAGCATTGAAAGGGAAGTGTCCCCAAATCCTTTATACTCTTTTTGTTTATTGTCATCATCAAAAAAGGGGGAAATTATTAGGTTTCAGATTTTAATGATAAGACTCTACCAATGTATCTAATATATGTGCAAGTCCACTAACCAAAAATATGGAAGGAAAGTGCACTAGAGGGGGAAGAAACATTTGAAGGTCCAACAGCTAAGTCACTCAAATTTGTCTTCCAAAGGCATACACCAGGACAACCAAAGAAACAAGGAAGGAAAAAGAATCAAACCAATGCGTAAAATTAGTGGAAAACTCAAAACTTAATGATTGGGGAGATTAAAATAGACCCAACATATCAAGGATGAATCTGGTTTTACTTCACATGCTGCACTCATGAGGCTATCCTTGGGCCCTACTCTAAGAAATAATGTCTCAAAAGAAAAATCACATCATTAATGATTTTTCAAAAATATCGGATAAAGAAATCAGTAACTATCAAGCACTATTAAAGAAGTCAAGGAAGGATGAGGGAAAGTACATAGCTTTCATACAAGTTTTTAGTCTTTCTACTTCTTACAAAACACTGTATTCCAAAGCTTACTAGTGCATCAAAAGATAGAGAAAAAAAAGAAAGTTATTGAAAAATTATGTCAAGAAATCAGTGTAACTCGTTTGTGGTAAACATGAGAAAACCACTCTCATATTGTAACTGTTCGATTGAAGTTCTAAGAGAACCCTTGTGACCCAAGGGAACTGGATGTAGGTACCCCACCGGTACACGAACCAATATAAAAATCTCTGTCTCTCCTGTTCATTTTTATTACTTGCCTTTATTTTATTTGGTATACTAAACACTGTATGCAGAATCTCAATAGTCAACTAAGAGCAAAGTTAGTCGACTAAAAAGGATATTTGCAATTCTTCCCCTCCCCCTCTTGTACTTTCAGTACACCCGTCTCATAAATAAAGAAGTTATGCCGCCTCTCGAATAGCCTTCAAGAGAAGTTATCAAAACAGAAAGAGAAAATGGTAAAAGAAAAAAAAGATAAAGATAAGATAAAATATTACTTGTCTATAGAAGTTTTAATTTTTGAAATACAAAAGAAAATTAATATAAAATAATAAAAAATACAGCAGTTGTTGTAAACTTGTATTACCTTCCATTTCAATTCACATAACCTATTTCTTTTTTTAATTCATTTAAATAAATAATTATTTCTATATTTGAAAAATTAACTTCGAACTTTCTTTTTATCCTTAATAAAAATTTATAACCACATAAATATTACGAGATTTAAGGCCACAAGTTTCAAAATCTTAATAATAATAATATTATGTCATTCATGCTGAATTAAATAAAGGGCAGTCTGGTACACTAAACTCTCACTATGTGTGATATTGGGGAAAAAGGCGGACCATAAAGGTCTATTGTATGTAATCTTATTTTATATTTCGGTAAAACTGTTTCTACGACTCGAATACGTAAACTTTGGGTCACGTGGCAATGCTGAATTAAATGTATTCATAAAAATTAAGGCCCCGTTTGGCCATGAGTTTTGCCAAAATAAATTTGAGATTTATTTTCAAAACTCATGTTTGGCCATAAAATTTGCCCATATTTTGGCCAAATCCTAAATCCCAACTGATTTTGGGCTAAAATCCCAAAACTTGGGAATTGTATATATGTTTTTTCCAAAATAAAGTTGGAAAGTATATTTTGAAAACGTATGTCCAAACACATTTTTATCTTCAAACCAAACTTCACCCAAATTAAATTTTTTAAAATAAATTCGGAATCTATGACCAAAACGCTAGCTAAAAGTAAAGGAGTATTACATTTTGAGATTGTGGTAGTGACCCACAGATATTGCAAAAGCTTGTTGGCTTGCAGAACCATGATTTACAAGCCCACATCCACTTACCCTTTTTGGATAAAGAGATGGGTTTCTCTTTATAGAAAGAAAAGAAATATGCAACTGACCGCCCTTGCCTCCACAAAGCTTCACAATTTAGAACAAAAATATTTGAAAGAAAATCAAAAGAACTAAACGGATAAAGACATGATATGGGAATACGAGAAACCTTATCCTGTCTTCATCATTTCACGTCATCCTCATTCCAACCCAAAAACTCTTGCGTCTGTTCCAACGGCAACCACTACAAGATAAAATTGACACCATCAAATTAAATAGTCTAATCTTGAAAATTATAGATAAAAGTGATAATATAGTTTGAGATATTATAAAGTAATATTAAATAATTTAAAACTTTGAGATAAGATCTGTCTGATTCAAAAAAAATCAAGCACATATATAAAAGGGGCCTGGTCGAATATACTTATATATAATTAAAAAAATATATCCTTTTTAGCAGTTAAATTAAATATCCTCCCACAAATATTATCGGTTAATTAAAATATATTTTGGTTATTACTCAATTGGTTGGTAACTTACGGATAAGTTATTTTTTTTCATCCTCAGCCTCGTTGATGAATATCAAAACAGGCGTTCAACGTTCTATATATACCAAAACTAAGAACTATCATTTCCTATTCCCCACTCCTTCAACTAAATATCTACACTAGGCAAGAACTTTTGTACTATTAGATATTCATAATCAAGACAAAAAAGAAAGGAAAAAACCAATGTTGGCGATATTTCACAAGGCATTTGCGCATCCACCAGACGAGCTACATAGCCCTTCGTCTAAAAGATGTTTGCTACCTGAAGAAACTCTTGAAAAATTCGTCTCATCTCACCCCTCAAATACCTCTTCTGTAAGCTTTGGAAATGCTGCTGCTCTTGCCTTTGTTCGTCCTCACTGCACTTCCTTGCTTCATCAAACACAAAGGTAACTACTCTCTTCGTTCCAATTTATGTAACACTGTTTGATTCGATAAGAAATTTTTAAATTTTTTGATCTTAAATATGTTATACTCCTATATTTATGTGGCTATAAATACTTTTCATTAAGGTTAAAATGAAAATTTTTAACCTTTTTGGGAATAAACTAACATAAACTGGAAAGTTAATTAGACTGCTAATTTTTAGTGTTTCCCACTAAAGTATACAGTTTTTTTATTTCATGTTTATTTCGTATAATATTGAACTGGGATGAGTCTAAATGGACCGACATGGACAGTGAATATGGCCCGAATTTTCTTGGAATTGAAGCGCAGTTATTGTTGTTGTAGGTTGTTTTGTGGGTATGAAGATATATACTGCTTGTTTTTGGGGAGCTTGAACAACTTATGCGCACAACTAAAACAATATGGGCTATCAAAAGGTACAAATGAAGCCATGCTAGTAATAGAAGCCTACAGAACATTGAGGGACAGAGGACCTTATCCAGCTGACCAAGTTATTAAGGATTTTGATGGGAGCTATGCCTTTGTAATCTACGACAGTAAGACTGGAACTGTATTTGTTGCCTTGGTTAGTATTATACTTGTTCTAATTTTGTGCAAATCATTTACATTTACCAGAGTTAAAAGGAAACTGTTAATTGCAGGGTTCAGATGGTGGAGTGAAGCTGTTTTGGGGTATTGCTGCTGATGGATCTGTGGTGATTTCTGATGATTTGGAGGTTATTAAAGCTGGATGTGCCAAGTCATTTGCACCCTTTCCCACAGGTAACATCTACAAGGAATTTGACACCAGAGTCTATATAGTAACGTACGCAGGATTTTGTGCAAGATTAGTATAAGTTTGTGATTATACTACTTCCTATCCTCAAGTAATATTTATATTGTGGTGTTGGCTTACTGTATATATTCACATTTTAAAGAAAAAATATTTTGGTCGGGATGACACCTTTTATTCAGATGTGGATCTAGGATTTCAAGAGGATAGATGCACTATTATGGAAAGGTGGATCTAAAATTAATATTTGACGGGTTTAACTTTAGGCTCTTACCATGAATCCATTACACTTTTGAAATTATAGGTTCAACATTATTATCTTTTAAAAAATTTGTGATTTATATATATATATATATATATATACACACACACACTTAATGTCGGAAACAAGACTGTCCAACCCGGAATGGGATTTAAACCACCAATTTCACTTGTGGAGGTGCACCCAATAATTATTTTACCATAGGAGTCTTTGAGCTTGAGTGCACACATGTATATTTAAATAATTTTTTAAGAGATATAATATTGTTATACATGGTTTAGGGAGAGAAGAATGAATTCACGTGAACACATATCCCTTATCCTAAATACGCCCCTGCACTTATTAAAGGGTGTCTCCGCCACTAAGTCATACGCGGAATCATTGCTTAACATGGCAGTTTCTTGAATTCTGTTTGGTTAGTTGATACATTTCTCATTTTTTTGGTGAATGAAATGCACAGGTTGTATGTTTCATAGTGAGAAAGGGCTAATGAATTTTGAGCATCCAATGAACAAGATGAGGGCAATGCCAAGGATAGATAGTGAAGGGGCAATGTGTGGAGCTAATTTCAAAGTGGATATGTATTCAAGGGTTAATAGCATTCCCAGAGTTGGAAGTGAAGCTAACTGGTCTGATTGGAATACCTCTTACTAAAAACCATTTTGCATTTCTCCAAATGGACACCATATTTAATTTGGTCATCTTTTGAGCTGTCCTTTGTGTTTTTGGTTCCCTTTTTAGTGTCCTTTAGCTTGGTGTCTTCCTTTACTTTGTGTACCAATGTATATATCTCTTTTCCTGAAAAATAAATGAAAACATCAACAAGGATTCAGCTTTTGAAAAGTTTATATACTCGCTGTCAACTTGGCTAGGATATCTGTTGATCAGTATGAATTTCGGAGAATAGATGATTAATCGCCGCCTCCTTGTCCTGAAACATCTCTTTATTGAATATTTACTCTACTTATGTGTCATCTCTATCTTCAAGAACAATTACTATTAAGGGTAAAATGAGGAAAAAAATAATTGATTGTCTTGTACTTCTAAAATGACAAAAAACTTGAGACAACTATTTTTAGAAATCACGACTAATAGTTTAAGACAGAGGGAGTATCTTGGAAAAGCGTATGACAGAGAAAATTTAGTAAAGGATGGATACAACTACTCCTCAAGCAAGTCGGCGGTCGACTATATAAATCCTCAATTACCATGTTGCTTCAACTAAATTCATCTTAATTCCATATTGGAAGTAAATTGGAGTGATGTTTTTTATTCCTAACTCAGAACCTTACAACACAACAACCTTTTTCTACAACAAAACAGAATTTCAATTCAAATCCTCACTCATGAACTCTCTTTTCTTCTTTGCCTTAGCAAATGTTAAGTTCAGTCCGAAAAATCTAAGCCAAACCGACGAGTTTCTCACTGACTTCCCACACTTTACGCGCTTTCTCTGCATCACTTGCTTCTTGTGACAGCTGATTTTCAAAAGAAGAAGAATTCTTGTTCCAGCTCCAATAGACACCTGATTTTGTAAGGCTTGGATCACTTACAACCTGTATAAAAGGAATAAACAACATCTTAGGTTAATCTTTTTTCTTGTTAAGGTTAGGCCGTTTTCTTTTCTTTCTAGTAGGACTAGGCTACCGTTAATTATTACTCCATCTGTTTCATTTTATATGACATTCTTTTCTTTTAGTCTATACCCGTCTATACTGGAAACTCTTTTATTATAATTTCCTATTTTACCCTTAGTGACATGATTTTAGTGAAATTCTTTCTATATTGGAAACTCTTTCTGTAAGGGAAGCTTCGAGTGCAGTAGCATAGGTGGTTCACTTTAAGTGGTGTTCGAATTCCAAGTGTGGCATTCTTGCAATTCCTTGTATTCTCTTATTAGAATTTCTGGCTTCGCTATTGCCGGTGATTATTACCTGTGCGAGTCTCTTTCCAGCTTCTGTCTCAGAGACGAATCCCTTGGTAATGTACTTCTGGAATGGAGGGAAAAGTAGTCTAAACAATGGAATATGCTCCCTGAAAAGCCCTGTTGTTGCTATGCAGCCTGGGTATAAAGAGGCAAATGTAATGCCAGTGTCCTCGTGGTATCGCCTGTGGAATTCCTGCATCGTGAGCATATTGCAAACTTTGCTGTCTTTATATGCTTTTGCACCATCAAAGTCTCCACCATCGATCATGGCTGAGCTGTTAAGCCCGTCAAGTCCTCTTGCCAATCCCCTCAAGTCCCCAAGGTTTGCTTTTGGAGGCACATTTCCAGCCAAAGTATTTGTGTTTCCTGAAAAGTGAGTTCAGTAACAAAGTTTAGTCTCCCACCGGAAAGAGTAGTAAATTCATATTCTCAATCCAATTTACTTAGTGAGTAGTTGCATTTACTGGCGGATTCAGAATTTAGACACTGTGGGTTTTGAAATGCATATCTAACTTTATCTGTACTTGTTTTTGGCACACATATATATAGGTTTCGAGATGGGGAGCCTTAGTGTAACTGCTAGAGTTGTTGCCATGTGACCAGAAGGTCACGGGTACGAGCCGTGGAAAGAGCCACTTGCAGAAATGCAGGGTAAGGCTACGTACAATAGACCCTTGTGGTCCTGCCCTTCTGCAAACCTTGCACATAGCGAGAGCTTAGTGCACCGGGGTGCCCTTCCTATATATAGGATTCAACTCAGAAACACTGGATCCTACTGAACCCGTGAACCCATTGTTGGATCGGTCATTGGTTGCTTTAGTTACCTGTAATGGAACCAACAATGATGAGTCTCTTTGAAGGGTAATCAGACTGTTTCAAATCATCAAGCAACAATCTTGAAAGGAGGAAGTGACCGAGGTGGTTAGTCCCAACACCTAGCTCAAATCCATCAGCAGTGAAAGAAGGCTCTTTAGCAGTTGGTTGATAAACTGCTGCATTGCAAACCAATACATCAAGAGGACGGCCTGATCTCCGGAAGTTATCGACAAACTGGCGAACACTGTCGAGGGACGCAAGGTCTAAGTGCATTATGGTGTAGTTCTCCTTAGGCATGCCTGCTGATTTTGCTGCTCTTTCAGTTTTTAGAAAGTCTCTACATGCCATAATCACATGCCATTTTCCTGTCTCAGCTAGTGCTTTTGCTGTGGCTAGGCCTAATCCTGAAGAGGCTCCAGTAATTACTACACACCCTTTTCTTAAAGTTTTCTTTCCTGACACTGTGGCATTGGTAACACCTGGAGTTGCAACCATTGTCTCAGCTCTAACAGCTCCATGGGACAACCTTCTTTGGCTCTGCACCAAATTCAAACCTCAGTAACAATCTGGAATGAGTTAATCTCACGTATGATCACGGAACTTATTATTACAACAACAACAAACTCGGTGTAATCCCACAATATGGGCCGGGTCTGGGGGATCACTAAATTTATTAATGTAGTAAATAAACTTTAGTTACTTTAATAAGACACAAAATAGTTTTGTGACTTTACCTTATAGTAGGTAAAGTATACTTACTATAATGTAACAAAAGAACAGTACTGTAACTTTCCTGTTATAGTTGGTAAAGTTGAGAGCTCTAAAAGTATTTTAGGAAATGCAGTTATAGTACCTTGACTTTAAATGAAGAGGAGCCAAAATCAGATTTAATATGGTCCGAGAGGGAAATTCCAAAGAGGCTAGAATCCCTCAAAGTTGCACTAGCTTTGCCCTGCAAGATTACAGAATGAGTAATAAAAAAGAAAAAAATTACTCCCTCCGTTCCAGGTTACGTGAATCTGTTTAACTGGGTACTGATTTTAAGAAAAAATAAAGACTATTAAAAATTTGAGATCCTAAACAAGTCAGAAAGTAGTACACAGTATTTGTTTGGTTATAAAAGCTCCTCATTAATGGTAGACTTAAAAGTTTAAACTAAATTGTTTCCAAATTTAGAATAAGTCATTGTTTTGGGAACAGATCAAAAAAAACAGAGAGCACTGTACTAGTTGAAGCTTAGATTTCAGATGCAGACTAAAGAAGTATATATAAAATAACACAAACCTCCTTGGGAATAGAGAAAGCAGAAGGAAGTAGTGCAGCAGCCTGAAGAGCCATGAATATAAGGAATTGAGTTTTACTATCCAAATTGTCAGCTCAAGAATTAAATAATGATTCTTGGACTGGTACTACTGGTAGTGTGAGAGTGGTAAGTATTTGAGCACTTATATATACAGTGAGAATGATGTGGTGTTACACTGATTTGAGAAAAAACAATCTTGAGTATCAATTGGATAAGATAAATTCTTTAAGGAAGTATGTCCCACGACAATTGTAAGCCACCAATCAGGCTTCAATTTTTGGATTTCCTTTTGGTATTTATATGACATAAAATACCCTATTATATAATGTTACCTAGTAAAAAAATAGGATACTATTTGGCTCTATACCCAATGCAATCCACTCCCATAAGGTATGGGCGTCAGCATGGAAAATCTAGCGATGACAGTGGCACAGTGGATAAAGGGCAGTCGGATAAAACTCTATTTGCCACATTGAGTGATTAAATATTGCAGTCATTTCTTTTTCCTAAGTATTATATATTGATGGTGTATAATTTTATACCACTAGGTTAAGTTTAACAGCAACAACATATAATTTTAAGAATAACCTGAAAATTAACCTAGCAAGCCTCCCAATGCCTAGCGCCACGGACGGCCCCGCCGCGCCAAGTGACAAGCGCGCAGGTGCCTCTGCCGCCCCACCGATATCCCTCGCCAGCGCCAAGCCACAGGCAGATGCCAACAGTGCCGCGCGCGCAAACCGTGATGCCAAAGACACTGCTGCTCACAACGGACCTGCTGCTGCCTTATAGAAAACTAAGTCATTTTCATTGTAAATATAGAGTAGTTTTATTTCATGTACTTCCATTATGTTTCTCTAGCTTAGTCAAGTCTAGTCTTGTAGCTTTGGATTATTTTTTTAAGCATTAATTATTAGGGCGGATCAAGCAATCAAAACTTTCTAACAAGCAAACAATTCTCTGTACTGGTGTCTCTCCCCCTCGACACCGCGTTGCTTTTCTGTAATAGCTTTAATTAATGCAATAAAGCTTTCTTTCATTCTTAATTCTCATTTCTGTTCTCTCAATTGCTCTTAACATTGGTTTTTCCGTACGGCAGAGGGGACCTCAGTTGGTGGACAGTAACTGCACTAACATCAGTTGCTTAGCCTTATGTCGCCCTTCCAAGGAATCTCAGGAAGGCGCCGCGTAACAGTTGGTATCAGAGCCTAGGCTCGACATCGGACGAGGGAACGCATTGACATTACCACCATTTTGACCATGGTGAATCATGGGGACCGCATTGCGGCCCTTGAAGGGACGGTTGAGGTATTACGGCCTATCGTGGATACGGTGCCTGAACTAAGAACCAACCTAGTGCAAAGGTTGGACCGCAGAGTGCTCCAGGCCGAAGTTGACATAGAAAACATCAGTCGCGACTCCGAGGGAGACCGGCAAACGGCAGCCACAAAGGCAGCCAAAATTTTTGGGAAATTCGAGGGACTCCAACAGGAGCGCACCTAGGATTTAGCCTACAGGGCACAAGAGGCATACAGGGTGACTGCCATGCAACAAACTATTGACAAATTAATAGACCAGCTCAATGTTGTCAATGCTGCTTTACAAGGCCTACTTCGAGGAGGTGGAAACCAAATCGGGGGCGCTGTGAACCCCACTTCCGCGACACAAAACTGAAAATTCCTGAGCCAAAGCCATACAGTGGAGCTAGGAATGCCAAGGAAGTGGAGAACTTCATCTTTGACGTCGAACAGTATTTCGATGCTGTTGGGGGCCTGGAGGAAGCTAAGAAGGTAGCAACTGCT